CCACCTTATTTTGTGGCTTCTGTATTTTTTATTTTTTAGAATAGAACAAAGTATATGTGCCCTTATTAGGGGTTAAATTGCACTGATTTGAGCATTTTGCACACTAAGAAAGTGTGCCCTCCCCCCTTAATACATTCCAATTTACACTAATTTGCGGGCATAAGACTTTTGTCCTATAAACCCCTTCCACTTGGGGCTGTCCGGACGTATCGCCTTCCCCCTCTCCTGATTTTCTCCCTGATACCCGGAAATGAATTTATGCCACTTTACGGAAAATCTATTGAGAATCTGAATTTTTTTTTTATTTTTTATTTAGAATGCATGCATGCTTCTGTTGTACACGAACCTATGACACAGGACATGACATGAGCCGAGCGCGTGGTGACTGACGCGTGTTCATTGGTCCTTTCAGACCATGTCAGGCCAAAGACAGTGTTTTGAAGAACGACATTCACAGTGTTATAGGGATGACTTTTTAGATCTGATCGAAAAACTAGTGAGAGAAATTTTTGAATTGTTACCGACGCTTACCACTAGTGGTGGCGCCATCCTAGGAAAGTGGGGGGGGGGGGGATATTCCACCATTTGTGTTGGCCGTTTTGGTAAGGTGTCCACAATATATTTAGAAATAATCATATTTTTTATAATTTCTAAATTAGGTACGAAATGTTAAAATTAAACAATCTCTAATGCTAAAGAATGGAAAGGTATTACGCCTATGGAGTGCGATAGTGACCTGTGAAGAAAAACTGATTATATGAATTCGATCCAACTCGGCCACAAGTCAACTCGGCCACAAGTCAACTCGGCCACAAATCAACTCGGCCACAAAAAGTTCGGCTACAGTCAACTCGGCCACAAGTCAACTCGGCCACAAGTCAACTCGGCCACAAGTTAACTCGGCCACAAGTCAACTCGGCCACAATAATATTGCTGTTATTATTGGTGTCATTGATATTATTGTTTTTATTACCGTTAGTTTTAATATCAATTATTAGTCTTAGCATTAACATTATGTATTGTTTAAATTTTTGCTGATATTATTATTGTTACCATATAAATAATACAAAATTCTCGATTTTTTAAATTCTTATTATTATTATATATTAGTCTTAGTATTATTATTTTAATAATAGTAATTTTAAAAATATTGTTATTGGTGTTTTATTAGTATTTTTCTCATATTATTATTATTATTATTATTGTTGTTGTTGTTGCTGTTGTCACCTTTATTATCGATATTATTACCCTATTATTACTAAGTAGGCCTAGTATTATAAGTATCATAGTTATTATTATTATTACTAATTAGTGTTACTATTATTATAAAAATAAACGTTATCTTTAATTTATTATTGCTGTTATTATTGCTATTATCACTTTCAATGTTATTATCACTATTTAGTATTATTAAAATACATATTTAAATATCGTTATTATTACCATATTATTTCTATTAGTACTGTCAAAATAAATATTACCATTAATATTGTTGTTGTTATCACCTTTATTATCATTATTATGACTAATTAGTATTATTAAAGTAAATATTTGAAAAGGGCCGACATGTCACTGGTGAATCACGTCATTGGATGCATCCTTGTCACTGACGGGTTTCAAACATATCCCTACAGAAAATTATGTGGTTCCTGTTGCAGTCGAATTCTGTGGGTCATGCAAGAATTAATTACGTCGACTCTTCTTTCCATGGCCCCAGGATTTTGCCGACAGGGGTCAGACTTGTCCTACGGGGAGGGGGATGAAAGGGACCGACCTCGGTCTGGGTCGCGGAATTTAAAAATCCCTGGTACGGTTAGAGAGAGTTTTCATGAATGGATGGTTTATTCTTTTATTTTTGATCCGACAATCTCATGGGGGGGGGGGGGATTAAATGCATCCACTTACCCGCCACCGCTGCCTAGATCTACTGTATTCATTCTGTAGCTAAAATTATAGTTTGCTATTTTTTTATTTTAATCAATTTGCATATTATGCCTGTTCGAAAACAAAAATAAGTTACTAGAACCCAAATGTAAAACTAACCGTTTTATCAATAGCCATTCCTTATTTAACCCGTCTCTTGAATAATTAACTCATGTGTGTATCTTAATTTAATTTTTTGTAAGCCTTTTTAAATTTTGGAATTGTCTCGTAGGCCTTTTTTTTTCTTTTCTTTTTTTGTTGTTGTTACAGTGCCCTTTTTGTGTTTTTTGTATATTGAAACTTTTTTTTGTACCGGTATCTAATTGTATTTTACCACTCTTATTTGTATATTGTAAATTTAACTATACTGATACAGTATATGAATAACTTATAGATTTGTATAAATTCTGTCTCTTATACACATCTAGATGTGTATAAGAGACAGCCTGCACCCCTTAGGCCAAGTTGTTGTAATTAACTAGGCCTAGGCCTAGCTAGGCTGCCTAGTTACAGTACATACATTACAGTAAAATATTTGTTTTTAATTTGAACTTTGCAAACATAGATAGGCAATACCACAACGCTAGAGTACTATCAGTATCACTCGTTCATTTCTTCTTTAATCAAACTATATCATCAACGGAACCCTACCAAACAATCAGTTTTTATCGTGTTAGTGTGCAAAGTACATACATAAACATAGATAGGCCTCCTGCCTAGGCTAACTCATCATAAATGTATACTATTAATTATTAACACACCTCCAATCAATGTAAATTTTCCAAATAGAAAGAGGTTTCTTAATGTAATGATTGCAATGTTGGCCTATTTATAACATGTCCAGGTCTCATTTTGTAAGCTTAGCCTTCACGTCAAGCTGGACTTGATTTACCGCGACCGCGCGAGTCGTGCACTCTGCACGACCCTAACCAGTTTGTCAATAAATAGAAAAGCGGAAGAAGCTAACATTAGCGAAGGCTAGGCCTAGCTATTGAAAATAGCAAAGAGTTAATGGAAGCATACCTGGTTTTCTTGCAATCCTGAACGCCTACTTACTCTTGAACTCCTCAAGCTAATGAACGTCGACTCTTCCTCTTCATCGGCAACGTCATTATCCCTCGTTTTCACCATTTTATTCATGTTATGTGTAGAGAATACTCAGTTGTTCAGCCATCGTCTGGTTAGTAGACAAAGGCCATTTTACTCACATGCTTCTACAATGATGAAATAGTTTAGTTTATTAACAATAATTTTCTAAAAATAAAGCATGAAATATAGTTGAGAAAATATTTATATGCAGATTTACTATCATTTATACACCATTTGGACAAATTTCTGGCAAAATTGCAATAAAAATGAAAAGAAAATTAATTCAGAGATATTAGTCCGCGGATCGAAATTTCGGATTATTGGCGCGGGAATCGAATAGGTTTGCTATGAATTCAACAGCGTATAGGATACTATTAAAAAGTGACATAGGCCGTGGATTATTGATAGATTGATTTCATATAATGTACTTGTATTAAACAATCATGAAAATCAATTTAAAATGATCGAAATTGATTATTATCATGATATATATATTTTATATTAATGTACTCTCCCTTGTACTCTAAACAAAATCGCGCCAACTGGCCGGGCAACTCATAAAGGCCCACACTCAAAATCAATAATACTATATAGTTGTCCTTGGTACACCACTAGAGTAGTATTGCAGTAATACTACTATTGATTAACACCACTAGAGTAGTACTATTGATACGCTTTTTCGCACTTGCTTAAAAATGGTCTAGTTTTAATGCTTAAACTGTACTTAAGTAAGTATAAACAGCAGCATACAGTAAAAGTTTCAAGCGTCCTCGCATTAATTTTTTCACTGGCGAGGTTTGCAGCATGCTGCTGCCATCCTTTAGGGAAATCCCCTCTGCGCGTACTTTCTTCGCTACAGAAAATTATGTGGTTCCTGTTGCAGTCGAATTCTGTGGGTCATGCAAGAATTAATTACGTCGACTTTTCTTTCCATGGCCCCAGGATTTTGCCGACAGGGGTCAGACTTGTCCTACGGGGAGGGGGATGAAAGGGACCGACCTCGGTCTGGGTCGCGGAATTTAAAAATCCCTGGTACGGTTAGAGAGAGTTTTCATGAATGGATGGTTTATTCTTTTATTTTTGATCCGACAATCTCATGGAGGGGGGGGGGGGGATTAAATGCATCCACTTACCCGCCACCGCTGCCTAGATCTACTGTATTCATTCTGTAGCTAAAAATATAGTTTCCTATTTTTTTATTTTAATCAATTTGCATATTATGCCTGTTCGAAAACAAAAATAAGTTACTAGAACCCAAATGTAAAACTAACCGTTTTATCAATAGCCATTCCTTATTTAATCCGTCTCTTGAATAATTAACTCAGGTGTGTATCTTAATTTAATTTTTTGTAAGCCTTTTTAAATTTTGGAATTGTCTCGTAGGCCTTTTTTTTTCTTTTTTTTGTGGTTACAGTGCCCTTTTTGTGTTTTTTTTATATTGAAACTTTTTTTTGTACCGGTATCTAATTGTATTTTACCACTCTTATTTGTATATTGTAAATTTAACTATACTGATACAGTATATGAATAACTTATAGATTTGTATAAATTTAAATTTAAATGCATAAATCGTCTTGTTTGCTTTTTTATTAAATTTCTTTTTGTATAGGCCTATTAATTATAACTAGGGCCTATATTTTATTTTTCCCACTGTAATTTGTATATTGCCATCCTTAAATAATCCCATAATTAACACATCATTTTATTATCTTTTAATAACAAAATTTCCCCTAAAATTAAATTTTTTTCCCGACCGAGAAAGGGAAGGGGGAGGCTAGGCTTCTCCGAAGTGTGGGAGGGGGGTGTGGAACCCCTTGTCGGGGAGCTTGGACCCCTCGTCGGCAGGGGTGGCGCCATCGGGGGCTCAGGGCCCCCTCGGGGAGAGCTTC